TCGGGTGGCACAGGGGGTGACCTCCGCCAGGAGAAGTGACCACCCAAATAAAGGTAGCGGCGAATAATACTCGGAAAATAATTCAGCCGCCGACCCCCGCACCCAATTGCCAAGCCAGAGCTTTGGGAGGGGGTCGGTGCAGCATTAAAGACCCTCTGCGGTTGCGTGTCGCGGCGCCGGTTCTGGCCTATCACGCTTCGGCGCGACACGCTGACCGTCCCAATCCTCCAGCGTCAACATTCCGAGCTATTCCCAACCTCCCACCACGCGGGGCGGGGCGACACGCTATCCACTTGCAGGACGGCGAGACACTTCAGGGCCCGTTTCCTCGGAGTACCCTTTTCCTTCTCGCATGGCGGTCCCAGATCGTGCTGCGGGCCCCGCGGGGCCCGCATACGGGCGAAGACGCCTGGCGTGACAAAAATTACGACGCCAGGACCTCAGTTTTTTTTTTTGTTTTTCTCTCTCTCTCTCTCTCTGCACACCGCCTGCAGGCGCAAACGGCCACGAGGACCGAACACGCCTTTGCTTGAACTCCTGGCGGCGCATCGGCCGCCTCGCACCGGCCGCCGCGGGGTCAGCCATCTCTCTCCCCAAACCCCCGACGTGGTGATTTTTGTTCATGACGTGGGCCCCCAGAGGTCTGGACCCACTCCCCAGGATCGGCTCCTCATCCTGAGCAGTCGTGCTGACGGCCCTGGGGCCCCGCGAGGACCCCCCGAAGGCAGAGCATGCAGCAGAGGTCTCCCTTCGCGGCTGCTGCTCGACGCGTGAGGGTCTGCGTCCCTCCCTCTCTGTCCCTGCAGCGAGCCGGGCCGCGCGCTCCACAGCAGGCCGGTGCCCTCCGCGCCCCCGCTGACGAAGTAGTGCCCCGCGGCCTCGGCCCGGGGGGGGGCGCCGCTCGGCGGCGGCGGCGGGGGGCTGCGGGCTGGGCGTGCGGCGGCTGCCGGGTGAGCGACGAGAAGGGTCTCGGTGGTTCAAGGATGGAATCCCGAGGGATGGGGGCCGAAGGGCAGGAGGGGAGAGCCAAGAGTCGGTTGACGCTGTTCGAGGTCCCTCGCCCCCAGGACCCCATCCCTCAGGGCCCAGTCTTTGAACCACACCGAGAAGCGGGCCCGACGCCAGGAGACAGAGAGCGACCATTCGCCGCGGCTCCGGCGGCGGGCCGCCAGCATGGCACACCCGCGCAGAGGAGAGGGCGCTCGCGCGCGGCCTCGCGCGGTAACCTTCTGCGCGAGCGTCCGCGCAGGCGGCCCTGTCTTCTTCCATTGCTCGGGTGGCACCCGCGGTGCTGGATCGCCCACCGGCTGGCCCTCAGGCAGGGTGTGCCGCAGAGGGGGGGGCAGCGAGATCTGAGGGAGCTCGATCTGGGCAGGACTCGGAGTAGATGCCAAGCCGCCTGATCGGCCAAAGAGCTTGGTGTACGGACCCTCTAGCTCGGAGGCGAGCGAGGGGGCAGATGAGAAGGAGAAGGCCCTCGCGCCTTCTGAGAGGCCTGCTATGTCTTCGGGGAGGGTTCAGAGAACACTTCTCGGAAGGCTTGGGGACCTCCGAGCTTTCTGAGAAGGCCCGCCCCTTGGCACTTCCCCCCCGCGCTCGCCGCCGATGTACACCGAGTGCCCTCGCCGCACTCCTTGGCTCCGTGGCCGCCCTAACGACGTGGTGTGCACACCGAGCCTCTCCGACGCTCGGCGACGCCCGCGACCAGGCGCGCGCGGGGAGCGCGCGGGGCTCTCGGAACTCCAGAAGCTTTGGTACGCATCGAGCCTGGGTTTAGGTCGGGCATGTCCCCCTACAGGCTGATTTTGGACGAACACTAGTAACAATCCAAACATATCTCCCAAATCTGGAAAAATTGTATATAAAAAAATCGTCCCCAGACTATGTTTTGACTATTTTTGAATTTCCCCCATGTAGAGGGACAGGCCCGACTTAAGCCTGGGTTTGGGTCGACACCCCTGCCCTGCGCAGTCCGTCTTTGGCGAGCCCCAGGACCTCGGGCGCACAGGAGGGTTCGGGCGCGAACTCATGGGGGGCGATACATGAGGGGGGAAGGACGGTGCCCTTTTCCCCACATGCTTAGTGAGGTTCTGGTGTTCTTCCCTGCCCCGTCGCACCCGCGTCTCACCTCACACCTCCCCTCCTCTTCACAGCACTGCTCAGCACAGCTCAGCTCAGCTCAGCTCAGCACGGCACAGCTTAGCACAGCTCAGTTCAGCTCAGCACAGCTTAGCACAGCTCAGCTCAGCGCAGAGGGGGTGCGCAGGGGGTGGTCTCCCTATGCGTGCCAGGGTCGTCCAGGCATAGCAGGCGTGGCATTTTCTCGACACCAGAGGGGGTGCGCAGGGGGTGGTCTCCCTATGCGTGCCAGGGTCGTCCAGGCATAGCAGGCGTGGCATTTTCTCGACACCAGAGGGGGTGCGCAGGGGGTGGTCTCCCTATGCGTGCCAGGGTCGTCCAGGCATAGCAGGCGTGGCATTTTCTCGACACCAGAGGGGGTGCGCAGGGGGTGGTCTCCCTATGCGTGCCAGGGTCGTCCAGGCATAGCAGGCGTGGCATTTTCTCGACACCAGAGGGGGTGCGCAGGGGGTGGTCTCCCTATGCGTGCCAGGGTCGTCCAGGCATAGCAGGCGTGGCATTTTCTCGACACCAGAGGGGGTGCGCAGGGGTGGTCTCCCTATGCGTGCCAGGGTCGTCCAGGCATAGCAGGCGTGGCATTTTCTCGACACCAGAGGGGGTGCGCAGGGGGTGGTCTCCCTATGCGTGCCAGGGTCGTCCAGGCATAGCAGGCGTGGCATTTTCTCGACACCAGAGGGGGTGCGCAGGGGGTGGTCTCCCTATGCGTGCCAGGGTCGTCCAGGCATAGCAGGCGGGGCAGGTTCTCGACACCAGAGGGGTGCGCAGGGGGTGGTCTCCCTATGCGTGCCAGGGTCGTCCAGGCATTGCAGGCGTGGCATTTTCTCAACACCAGAGGGGGTGCGCAGGGGGTGGTCTCCCTATGCGTGCCCGGGTCGTCCAGGCATAGCCTCTAGCGCGGGATTGCGTATTACCTCTCGTATCCAAGTGCCAGGCGACGCCAGATATGACCGTCACAGATGACTCCTCAACCCCTCCTCTCCCCCCACACGCCCTCCCCCTCCTTTCAACGACCACAGGGGGCACCTGAGAGCATGACGGCGGTGGTAGTGGTAGCGCGGTTCACACAAGACATAAAATCAGTGTGTGGGGGGTTCCTCGGTAGCGTAATTTCTGGCCCTGCCGCTCTGGGGTCGTAAAGGGCCCCTCTAGGGGCCCTGAAAAGACCCTTTTCGACAGCCCTCGCTGTCCACTCATCTATCGCCCCCCCCATTAGTTCGAGCTCAAAGGGAACGCCGAAGGGGGGGCGGGAAGGGTGGGCCTGGAAGGAGTGGTGGGGCCGCACCCACCGCCAAAAGGAGCGCTCAATGAGGAACGAAGGGGCTGTTCTGGCTACGGCAAGCGTCGGCCTCAAACAGGCGCCCCGACCCACGTAGATCAGGATCCGCCGAGGGGCAGCAAAGACTGACTTCGTGATCTCTGCCGCAACGCAAGGGTTGCTGGGTATCCTCCTCCTCCTCCTCCTCCTCCTGCTCCTCCTCCTTCTCCAGTCCTCTTCTCCTCCAGTCCTCTTCTCCTCTGGTCCTCTCCTCCTCGTCCTCTTCTTCCTCCTCGTCCTCTTCTTCTTCCTCCTCCTCCTGCTCCTCCTCCTCCTCGGGGGAGGGGTCTGCCGACAGGGGAGCTTGAGTGAGTGGGGGAAGGGGAAGGGGGGCAGCTTCCCGAGCGGAAAAAAGCGGGGTAGCCAAGAGAGGGGACCCCCCTGCCTTCGCTCTGCCTCCCGCGCGGTGCGCCCCTCGCGATCACGTCGCATCGTCGGAGATCTGGGATCCCACCTCCCTGGAGAGCCCGCTGGGGCCCGTGCGCACCAGTCGAGCGCCCAGACCGCCCCGCCCTCGCAGGGACAGGCGCCGAGCTGCCTCCCCTGCGGGGTGCTCCAGACGCCCACGCTGCAGTCCTCTGGGGGTTGGGAGCGCCAGCGGCCAGAAGCGAAAGAAAAGGAAGCACGTGTGCATGAATGCTCGTGGGCTTCGACCGAAGTCAAGGGCACTCAGACCTTCAGCGCATCGGAACACAACCATGACGGAGTTGCGTTTTTTTTCCCCCCGGATCCGTAGCTTTCGTCGCATGGGGTCCCTCGCCAAGCCCCAGGGACCGTCAACCAACGACTCCCGATGACAAGCCAGCCCTGGGGCAGGGGTCCGAGCTTCTGGGGGGCCCGCATCCCCAACACGCAGGACAGCGGATCTCTGCGCCTGCACGGCGCGAACCTGCGCGCGCGAGGCGAGGCTGGCCTCGCGGACGGGGGTGCCGTACGGCGCGCAGGCTCACGCAACGCGGCCAGGCGCGTGCGTCCTCTCCGTGGGCGTCCGCGGCTGCGCGCCCTGGGCCACGCGAGCCCTGTGCCCGGCAGCGGGTGCCCAAGGCGGCTGCGCCGCGCAGGGTGCGGCCCTGGGCAAGAGTGGCCGGTGGGTGCGCGCCTTTCGGGAGGCGCCGTTCGGGGTGGGGAGGGGCAGAGCCAAGCGCCCCGCTGCGGTCGTGTTGCATCCAGCGATCGGCGGAGCATGGTGGGCCCTCACCAACAAGGCCACTCCGGCAAAGGGTGAATCATCTACCCAAACATTCTGAGCCCTCCGGGGCCCTCACGATCGATCTGGCTCGATAGATGCTGTAAGAAGATGGGGCTGAGACCCGAGCACCTGTGGCAAACATCAGCACGTTTGCGTTGTTTCCGCTTCCGGCCCCAGCTGGGGGGCCTTTCGGGCTGAGACCCCTGGCCCTGGAAGGAAGCGTCGTGCGTCCTGGGGGCCCTGCATTGAGCAAATCTAGACATCGGATGCCCGGCCAAGGTGAATCGGCCCAGAGTAAAAGTCGAATCGACCAGCTGTGACAGGATGCACAACAGCGCCATGCAAGCATCGGGCCGTGTGGGACCGTCGGAATACCAGAACATCAGATCGGATCGGGCTGGCTGGAATGGTTGTCGAATCGGATCGATCATATTGGAACGGACCCTGCGCCAGGGTCGGCGCAGGTGCACAGCCACCGTTTTTCCAAGTCCTGGCCGCCCGTCTGGAGCTCCTGGAGCTCCCGACCCCCTCCATTCCGGTACTCTTGCATCCCAGATCCATGTCTGGAGCTCGCGCGTGGCCCGAAGGCGGCCCCCCGAGGCCGAAGCGAAAACGCCCCTGTCGAACACACCACATCGTCAGAGGCCCGCCACGCGACAGAAGTGGGAGGGAGGGTTCTTGGGTGTTGCTTATCGGGCGGGCGATGCATGGGAGGGGGGGGGCGACGAAACGTGCACCCTTCCTGCCCCTTTTGGGGCCTGCGGGGCCCCATCAGGTGCCACCAGGTGCACAAAAGTTGCACAAAGGTGGGAATGCCGGCGCGGGCGCGGCCGCGTCGAGCGGGCCCAGGACGTCGCCGCGCGCGCGGGGGGCTTCCCTGCGGCAGCTGGCAATGACCTCGCCGACAGGGCGCCTACACTTGCGCACACTCGCCATAGATGCGAAACGTTGACATGTAATGTCCATCAGTGTGTGGGGGCTGGGGTCGGTTGCCCATTACACCAGAGAAGACCGCCAATCAATGCATGGTTTGAAATGGGATTGATAAAGATATCGACAGGGAGATCGACCAGGAACCCAGGAACCCTGAACCCACCGAAATCGGCCCAGAACCAAAATGACCAAGAACCCGGAAACCCAGAACCGGGAACCCAAGAACCCAACCGGCCACCAAAAATCGGCGGGAAACTTCCGCCAGATCCTTCGATTTCCGCTATAGGACCCATTCAGTGCACGCACTGATTGGGGAGCTGTTCACGTCCACCCCTCACTCGTCGCCTCCCCAGTGCGCAACGCGCCGAGGCTCTCTCGCGCACGCGCCGCCCGCACCCGCGGCTGCCTGGCTGTGCGGCGACGGGGAGGACGACAGGGAACGAGAGAAGCCTTCGGGCGCGAAGAGCGGCATGGCATCAGCTTCTCCTGCCGTTCTCCGACCCCCGAGAGCAGGCCGACCACCGCGAGCGCGCAGGAGGCGCTCGCCGTCGTCTGGGCCAACCGCCCCCTCCCACCCCCCCGAGAAGGTCCTCGGGCGCGGCCTGACCAACCCCCTCCGTGACGAGCACCTCCCGTGACGTCGCCCTCTGGGCCTCCCTCTGGCCGCATACGCGTACGCCTCGAGGCACAGAGGCGAGGGGGACGCCACGGAAGGGAACGGCTTGCTGGGGGTTGGGCGGGCCGCCCCTGCAGGGAGGAGGAGGAGGAGGAGGAGGAGAGGAGAGAGAGGAGGAGGAGGAGGAGGAGAGGAGGAGGAGGAGGAAGGAGGACAGGAGGAGGAGGAGGAGACAGAGGAGGAGAAGGGAGGAGGAGGAGGACGAGGAGGAGGAGGAGGAGGAGGAGGAGAGGAGGGAGCCCCTGCGGTCCTGGCCGCCCGTCAGGAGCAGCTCCGAGTCCGGGGAGAAGGCCGCGGCCAGCACGCGGCCCCGGTGGCCCAGCAGGGCGCGGCCCTCTCGCGCGCGCGCCGGGCCCCGCGGCCCCGCAGCGGCCGCCGCGGCGCCCCCCGCGGCGAGGTCCCAGAGCCGGGCGCCGCCGTGCGCGCCCGCAGCGCAGAAACGGCCGTCCCGGGACAGCGCGGTGCAGCCGAGCCCCGCCGCGTCGGCCTCGGGGCCGCAACTCGAGATACGGTGGGGGGCATATGTTTTTGTTGCCCTTCAAGGGCCGCGAAGCCCGTGAGCACGGTGGGGGCAGTGGATAAGGAACCCTTCGATAAGGAATCCAGGGTCTCGAGGCCGGTGGAACTCCAATCGAGGCTCGGCCACGCATGTCACCGCCGCCCCCATCAGAGAAGGGATCCGCCAGGGTCTGCAGCATCGTGGGCGCAGTCCTGAATCAGCGCCCCCGCCGCAGTAGCTCCGACGCTGCGATGTGCTTAGTCCAGGCGCCTCTCCCCGCCCGACAGGGTGCACGGTGGGATGCAGAGGGGCAGCCTGGGGCCGCCAGAGCGTGCAAGATGGCCTCGGCGAGGAGGCAAGCATCATTGAGTCTACTCGGGTTCTGGCCACACTTGGGCCTCCTTGGGGGGGGGGCTGATCTACTACGGCCCCTCCTGGATCGATCTCCTCTAAGATTACCCCCGAGGCTCCCAAGAGTGCCCCAAGACGGCCTCAAGAGGTGCCCAGGAGGCCCCAAGAGGCCCCCAAGAGGCCACAGGATCCCCCCGAAGGCACCCAAGAAAACTCCCAGAAGCTCCCCAAAGGCACCCAAAAGGTTCCAAGAGGCCCCCTGGACTGCCAAGAGACCCCCAAGACGCTCCAAGCAGACTTCACGAAGCTCTAGAGAGACATCCGAAGAGACTCCGAAGAGGCATCCAAGAGGCCTCTGGCCTTTGAACTCGCCCTCCTCCTCCTCCTCCTTTTTCTCATCTGCCTATTCCTCCTCCATCCTCCCTCATCCCCCTCCCCCTGTGCGTACTCCTCCTCGCCCTGCTCCTCCTCTATCCCCCCCTCTTGGGGTGTGACATCTTGCCCAACCCTTCATTCCACTGCATGCTCCCTCCACATCCCTGATGAGGGCAACTCCTCTGGGCATTGTTTCTGGACTGGTTGGTGGGGCTACTTTTTGATCTCGACCGCGGCGAAGACAGGTCGAGCGGCGTCCAGCCAGGGTTGGTGGGGATACGCGAAGCATCTAGAATAGGAATATGTTTGGATGATGCACAATTGCTGTTAGACTTGGCGAAAACCTTCCGACCCGCCTCGCGCACCCAGAATGCTGGCATACCGCGGCGGTCAGGCCCACCAAAAAATCCCGATGGTCGCTGGGGATCCTGCCTCGCGTATTTGACGACTGACGACTGCATACTGCGGCCTGCGGCCGCCTGGTCCCAAGGATCCCGGTGATCCCTGGGGATCCCGCCTCCCGTCTTCGGCTACCGACGGCATAACGAATGCACATAAATTTCAGGCACGGAAAGACCATACAACATAAGGCGAATAAAGAACAGCATAATCACTTCCAATTAAGAATACACATGCGCACTGGGCCGACGCGACATACATGCATCACGTATGTCAATCATGTACACTCAAACCATCAGGGTGGGACTTAGACAAGCAAAGCCCAGATACAGAACATGCACGAACAACGCGCACCTATAACTCGAACCTTCACACCTCACATTCGGTATCTTCACACGTGCAATATACACATATTGAGCAACGGAACTATATGCACACACCAGGCGTACAGACGTGGAACCAACATAGCATACATAGCACACGTGCTGGTACAAAGCAACCAGCAAAACACGAGCAGCACACATGCGAACGACAACCTGAAAACAACAACTAAGAGTCAAACAAGAGTATCGCAGGATACGTGTAAGACGTTATGCAACATGGTAAGACATGTTCCCAGACAAGTGCAACGACTAATTACACACGACAGGCGTCACGACGACACACGGGCCCGACGAGGCATACAGAATTGCAGAAGATGCGCACAGAGCTTAAACGATCAACAACCACAACAACGCACGTAAACGACATGCCGACGAAATCACATCCCTTTGAAAATCAAGTGAACGCGCACTCAAAGGACACATACAACAAAGGGCCACTCGATTAATTACATGGGTCAACAATCACTGGCTACTTCTCTCATGCACCGGGAACAAATCTGCACTCCCTGCTTGCCACCACAGTGCGAAGCGGAAAAAACGTGAAACAGGAGGCGGAGGAGGAGGATGAGGACAAAGCAGCGCCCGTAAAGCGGTGGCCAAAAGAGGCGACCACCCAAAGGCCCACCGAGGAGCCTCCCAAGAGCGGCAACACGCATCGGTAAAATCACACATTGCGGCCCACAGCTCGGCAGCAGACCAGCGTTGTGGCTGCCACGGGCTTGGTGCACAACGGTACTCGTCGTTCATTTCTAATCGTGGTCATTTCTACTTGTGCTCGTTTCTAATTGTTCCTGGCCCCCTAGTGACCAGAAAGAGGCCCAGGATAAAACAATTAAAACACCAGAGGATGGCCTAAATATCTCGCCCAGACGTTCACATCTCAGCAAAGCTGTAAGATATGAAAGGACTCATTTATCGATCACCTCTGACACAATCGTCCATTGAAGTAGCTCAGGCCTGCAGCACGAGACCAAACATCGGAGACGAGTGGATACCTGTCTCTTTCTGTCCAGCGGGAAAATGCATCCGAATTGCGAGCGACATGCAAAGAAGTTCGTGGGTGGCAGCGGGTGGGCGGACCTGAGCCGCGGCGTTGCGGAGGCACGCGAGGCTTGCATTAAACCTGGCGGGCGAGAAGGGGCCAAGGGGTATTCACGTCTACGACTAAACACACCCCAGGATGGCCTAAATATCTCGCCCAGACGTGCACATCTCAGCAAAGCTGTAAGATATGAAAGGACTCATTTATCGATCACCCCTGACACAATCGTCCATTGAAGTAGCTCAGGCCTGCAGCACGAGACCAAACATCGGAGACGAGTGGATACCTGTCTCTTTCTGCCCGTACCCGTAACATGTACTGGTGGCCCAGCTAGCGCTTGCGCAGGCGATCCAAGAGAAGCTGCGGCAGCTTGTTGCTCCTGCTCGCCGCCAATTTCTGCTTCTACAGTGGGACCTTCCGCAACTGCTGGAGAATGAGGGCGCCTTTCTCATAGCGGGCTACCGAAGCGGACGATGCCCATCGGCCGCGCTTCTGGACCTCCTTCAAGGTCCTCCTGTTGTGCGCCTTGTCGTTCGAGGCCCCTGAGTGCCTGAAGACACGCGGGCGCACGCCCAGGGACGAGTAGCCCAGGCGGTCGGCGCTCTTTTTGACCTCCCGCTCGTACTCCGCAAAGGAGAAGTCGAAGATCTTGAGGGAGTCTGGCGCCTTGGGCTGATGGAGGAGCCGCAGCACGCTCGTCAGCCAGGGGCGTGCCGTGTCGCCGACCAGCAGGCTGTCGTCCTGGCCTCCCGTCTTTGTGACCTCGTACCACTCCGAGGGCGCGATGACGATGCCATAGTGCGCGCCGAGCCTCGCGGCTGGCGCGGGCGGCAGGATCTGGCCCTGCCTGAGCTCGACAACCTCCGAGGGCCTCAAGTAGGCGTCCGTCTGCAGCTCCACCGCGGCGCCCATGAGGGGGCATGTCGTGCTCCACCAGGTCCAGCGCGATGTCGTCCACGACGATGTCGGGCAGCGGCAGGCGCATCCGGCCTGGCGACCGCTTGGCCCAGCCCTTCAGCGAGGCCAGCGCCTTCGGAAGGCCCACCTTCCCCGTCGCCTTGAGCCGCAGGAGCCTGCAACCGCACAGGGTGTTCCGACCCTCCCAGACTCCGAAGCCGTCGTCGTGCAGACCCGCGAAGTACTGGGCCACGCTGTCGTCCAGGCGGCTCAGCGGCTGCAGGTCGAGCTTCTTGGCCTTCGCGTAGATCTCGAACTCGTGCACGGCGGCCGCGTACCGCTCGAGCGTCGCGTTCGTGACCGTTGCCATGACCAGCGAGTCGCGCCTCTGGGCGCGGATGGCTCCCACTCGGCGCGGCGCCGACGGCTGGCGAGGGCGGCCCTTGCCGGGCGGCCGCTGCCTGCCAGTGCGGGTGGGCCCCCCAGCGTCGCAGGAGCTTGTCCTGGCCGAACTGGACGAAGGGGCCCCCGCTGAGGTACGCATCGGCGGCCTGGCAGCTGGCCTCGGGGCGCTCGCCGTCCTCGCCGCGAATCGCCTCTCCCCCAGTCTTCGGCTGACGGCCCGCGGCCCGAAGGAGGCCATGACGGATCTCACGCGGGTCGAAATCCCGCGCGCTCGCGAGCGCCGCTCTGGGGAGCGCGGCACTCAAAACGCCTGCCCAGCAAGAGCCCAATGCGAACGGATAGGCGGCAGCCTGAGACGTGAGGTGCCCGTGCAGCATGATAGCGTGCTCGTGCGGTATGCGAAGTTTATCACCGAGGGCCCGCAGGGCCTCAACGTCCGTAAGTACGCGAGTCGGTTTTCGATAGGCCGTACCGTACATGCTCATATCGAAGTTGACCTCTATGACGTTCGGAAGCCCACGAAGCCGAGCGATGGGGTCGAAGTTCCACAGCCTCGAAGTTCTCGGATTCTCCACACTCCAGTAACACCCACGACGAGATAATATGTGACACAATGTGGCCGAGAACAGCGCGAACTCTACTCCAAGACGTTCCCTAGCTCGTGCCCGCGCGTGGTTCTTAATTCTCCGCCGTGCAATACTCCAGACTTGACAAGGCGTCCCAAGATGCACATAAACCAGACGGCCTCTCCGGGCCAAATCCAAGATCAAGTGTTGCGTGCTCCGTCGAGACAAGTCAAACTCGCAACCATCCTTGATGTCCACGGGATCTGCAAAGGGGAGCCCAATATTCCTGCAAGCTCGAGTCAGCAGTCCGAGACCACCGAATAGCTCCAAGCAAAAAAATGATTGACCAGGCTCGTTCTGAATTTCCGAGCAACAGACAGATGAAGAAGACGCTGACGAAGACGATAACAAGGGAGAGGATGGTTCAGTCCGCTCTCCCTCGCAAGCTCCAGCGGCGGCGGCGGCAGCAGGCCCCTCGGCCCGCGCGTCACCTGCGCCGCGAGCGGCGCGAGGACCGCAAGGTTCATCAGGAGCAACTCGCCCAGCTGGAGAGCGCTGCCGCTTCCGCGCCGGGCTCTGCGAACTGGGCCCCTTGATATCCCACTGGCGCGACCCGCGGTCGCGGCGATGCGGATGCGCGTTTCGACCCACAAAACACAGGGTCCGGCCCAAAATGGTCGCATCGGTCACTGCAGGCCATTTTGGGGCCGACCCTATTATTTCACGAGGATAATGGGCCTGCGCCGCCGCAACTGCCGGGGGTGGCTGCTCCCGCGCTGGGCACTGCTTGGCGGGCAGCTTGGCGTCCCACTGGCGCGAGTCGAGGTCGCTCGGGTTCCGATCCGTCTCGATGTAGCGGAGCCGCCGCGTGATCTGGCCTCCCAGACGGTAGGCGGCCGCGCGCCGGCACAGTGCCTGCAGGCCCGCGCTAGAGCGGCCCTTCTCGAAGGCCCCCACGGTGACCTGGCTGTCGCTGAGCGTGAGCAGCTTCGAACCCAGCATCCTGACAGAGCGGCAGTGCCTTCGCAGCCCCATCAGGGCCACTCGCGCCTCCTTCAGGTTGATGTGCTCGTCCTGCCAGCGCCAGCGGTCGGCTGCCACCAAGTGATAGCGCCGACGCATCGTCCAGCCATCGGCCAAAGCGGGGATCCCCGAGTCGAGCGCCACCCTGACGCGGGCCCTCTTGCCGGGCGCAGCGTGGGCCAGCGACCTGGGGCGCGCCTCGGCCCGGCCCCGGAGGCCCTGGCCGAAGGCGGTCAGCGGGCCCGCCGCCGCCCGGCGCGTCGCCCCGCACGTAGCCCAGGCCCTCTTTAACCTGGCCCTCCAGCGAGGGGACGTCCCGATATCGCCAGCGCTCTCGCCATCTCCAAGCCTCGCGGATCTCCTCGGGCTCGCCCTTCGTCACGTGCAGAGCGTAGCCGGGGACTCCTCAATGAAGCGGTAGCACGCATTCAGAGCGGACATCGCCTCGGGGCAGAGCGGTTCACCACGTGGCCGAGCCAACGCTGTAGGGAATGCCCGTGCAGCTTGCGCCGTCGCAGGAGGGCATGGCCAGCTAAGTAGGTACGCCAGACACGCCGAGCTACATGTCGAAGTCGTCGTTCTCGCCAGTGGTACACCAAGCCGAGCGTCTGCATCTCAAAACCGCCGCCTGACTCGACGTCAAAAGGTATGTTATCTTCGCAACACAACTCTTCTCAATCTCTGTCATCTGTCTTACTGCATCGCTTTCGCAGCCCCCGATCACCTGTACGTTGTCAACGTGTACGCCTGTAACGCACTTGCCAGGCCTCAAAACTGGTGTGGGCTGCATCTCTCGCATGATCTGGTCGGCGCCGTCCTCGAGGGTCTTCTCAACTCGGTAGGTGACGGCCTCGTTGGCGAAGTACAGCGCCCACGACCAGCCCACGCGCACGGCGGCCATGCAGGGGTAGAGCACCTCCCCGTCCACGACCTTGGTCTCGGCCCCCTCGGCGTCGTCCCAGATCGTAGCCGGTCGGCATCCCATGCTCTCCAGCTCAGCGGTGTCGAAGCCCAGCTCAGCGGTGTCGAAGCGGTCCTCGAAGCCGAACCAGGAGGCGAGCTCGGGGATCGTGAAGTTGTAAAAGCAGTCCCCGACGTCGCCCTCCAGCCCAGCAGGACTAGCGGCGGCCCCAGAGCCCACGCCACCGAAGCCAGAAGCCTTCAAGCGGGGGTCGGAGAGATCCAGGTCGGCCATGCAGCGTGACGAGCCGAGCCGTGTAGTTGGCGGTAACCGATGTGCTCTGTTCGCCGCTCGGGCGTCGATGTTTAGCCTCTGAAGCCCATCTTTCTTCTTGACCGCGAAGATGCCCGCGCGCCCCTTCAGCAGCCGGCGCCAGGTCAGCAGGCCCTGCTGGCTCAAGCGCTGGCACAGCCGCTTCCGTAGATCTCGCGAGCGCCGAAGTCGGGGCTCCCAGTGAGGCGAGAAGCCCTGCCCTTCGGCTCGGTCCTTCTCAAGCTCCGCCTCGTCCCTCTCGATCAGATCGGACGCGTGCCTGATGTAGCCAAGCGCCGCAGGAGGAAGCTCTCGACGAATTGGTCGAACGTGGACCTTCCTGTGCAGGATCTTGACCTTGTCGAAGTCGAAGCTGGCTAAGCTCTTGGGCTCCATGCCGTAGTGGTCTCTTGAGTCGAGGATCTCCGCCAGGGATGATTCCTCTGTAAGGTCAGTTGGGCAAGCCCCATACGCCTCGACCCGCCGCGCGACGTTCTGGAGCATCCAGCGCTGCACGGCGGTGGCCCGGAAGTGGCCCTCAGGTGGTAAGTCGTGCCCCCGGGCGCGACGTGAATTCAGGTTGGCGGCAGGAAGCTGGTTCAGGGCCCGAACCGAGTCAAAAACTTGCCGAAGCCGCGCGGCGTCGCATGCAGTGCCGAGGCCAGCAGGATCGCAAGGCAGCGGGAAAGGGTCTCCATGCCGTCGATCGCGTGACCTGATGCCTCCTGGGCTGGAGGCGGCAAGCCCTCGTAGATGTCGGCTGCGGGGGGGCTCGATCGGCGCCCGGGCTGCCAGCGCCGGCGCCCCCGCAGCCCCGAGGGGCGTCATCCCTCCTCGCCGGCGCCGCCACCAGCGCCGGCCACTCCTCCCTTCGCCTTCTTCGGGCGCCTCTTCGGGTTGGCGAGCTCAGTGTTGTCGCCGCCCTTGCCGTCGCCCTTGCGCACCTGCTTCTGCTCCGCACGGTAGAGCCGCCCCTGCTTCCAGATCGTCGCCCGCTCCTTGGGCCTGTCCGTGACCCAGGTGTTGAACCTCGAGGTGGAGGCGCGGCCCGCGGCGTTCACGGGCGCGGAGATCACGACGTCGAGGCCGCTGTAGTCTGGATGGCGCGGGTTGCGCTCTACCGCAATCTCCGTCTGGATCATCCAGCGCACCAACAACTCGGCGGAGGCCAGCATGGAGAGATCCACTTGATCCCACGAGTGCATGAGGCGGATCACCTCGCACAGGTTCCGATGTACGTGGTTGACCGCCGAGCCCTCGCCGACCCCGCTGAGCCGCTCCCACTCGGCCTGGTGCGACGTCACGTCAGGCCCAGCGGCGACGCTATCCAAGAAATCCTTCACGCCCCTGACGCCCGCCAGAAAGAAATTCGGCTGGTCGGCGTCTCGCATCAATGCGACGGCCTCCGACAAGCGCAAGCTCCTCAAGCCGGCCTCGTCGTGGTGGTCACCCAGCGCGCGCGTCGCCGAGGTCCGCCTTCGCGCCCCTCTTGAAGTCCGCCAGGCTGCTCGCCGCGATCTTCTGCACGAAGACCTCCTCCCCGTCCAAGACGGCCGCGCCCTTCTGGTCGAAGCCTGTGCCGCGGTTCTCATCATCCATGACCGCAGCGTCGACGATCTCGCCGAAGCGCTCGGAGCGCGGCTCGGCCACCGCCCAGATCATCCGCTCGATGGCGTCTACCTGGCCGACGCCGAGCAGCTGTCCCTGCAGCTTCGCGCGGCGACGGATGGCGGCCAGCGCTGCCCCGGCGATCGGGTCGCGGGCGTACACCCGGCTCGCCAGGTGCGCGGGGAAGGGGGCCCTCCTCTCGAGCACCTCGCGCCTCACATCCAGCAACTCGATGCGGACCAGGTCGTGGTCGGGGGCGAGGCAGATCCAGATGTCCTCGCTCGCCCTGAACAAAAGCACGCGGTGGTGCCAACAGAAGCCGCGCGGGTCGTTCTCGTGCCGCACCAGGATCTGGGGGTCCGCGATGTCCAGCGCGAGGACGTCAGCCATGGCGTCGGCTCGGCGTCGAAGGGCCGCCGCCTCCAGTCACCGCCACCAAGGGCGCAGCGGCGCGCTCGGGCGCCCCGCCTGGGGGGCCCCCGTTGGACGCCCGCCCGCGCGAGCCGCAGCGGCGGCGCCGGCAAGCCCCGGCCAGGAAGCCCAGCGCGCCCGCGCCGGAGGCGGCGAGGCCGAGCACCAGCAGCCCAGCCAGCAGCAGGCACCGCAGCGCCCAGACCTCCGCCTGGAGGTCGATGATCCGCCGCAGCTCCGCGTCGCAGGAGCAGTGGCAGACCTCCTCCGCGCCGCGGCTCGGAGGCGAGGGCGGCAGCCAGGCAGGCGCCGCGGGGGCCGTCGACCAGCCCCAGGACCAGCAGGCGCCCAGAGTCGCGCTCCAGGCGGTCACCAGCGCCGCCCACAGCGAGGGCGGCCCGCCTTCCATCCGAGGCCGGCCGCGCGGGGACCTCTCGGACTTGAGCCGCCGCGTTGCGGAGGCACGCGAGGCTTGCATTAAACCTGGCGGGCGAGAAGGGGCCAAGGGGCATTCACGTCTACGACTAAACAACGCAAGGATTTTGGCCCTTAAAAACAAAAGAAACTCAAAATAACTAGCCATGTAGAATGTGTGCGCAGCAAAAAGGGGGGGGATCGAGAAAGAGGGGGGGGCAAGCTAGGTGCGCTCGCGTCATATCTGACATCCTACCCCTCTTCCCTTCCCTTCCCTTGCCATGGCGCAGATCCCCTCTCCACTCGCACAGCCGGATGTCGAGCAGGGCAATGATCCCGAAAGGGTACGCGATGTATTGTAGAACGCGGCATGGCATGGCGTAGAAGAGCACCGCAAAGCGTAGTATCAACCTAACATTGCATTGCATGCCGTGGTATGGCACGGGAAATGACGCCAGCGTTGTGCGGCCTCCATGCGGTCCCACGTGCCCCTCGTACTATAAGGTGGGGGCATTGGATAAGGACGCGTTGGATAAGGAATCCAGAATCTGGAAGCCAGTGGAACTTCTCATCGCAGATTGGCAGTGGATATTGCCGCCGCCCTCATCAGAAAAGGAATCCTCCAGGGTCTGCAGCATCCTGGGCGCATTCCTTAATCAACGCCCCCACAATATATTAAAAGCACACAGCGGTGGATACAAAAGGGCAGCGGATGACCCAGTTCAAATGAGAACTGCAAGGGGGGGGAGGGGGGGGTGGGCAGTTAGAGCTGTCCAGGATGGCCCAGGATGGCAACAAGGGACCCTCGGCAGCCCAAGACGGTCTCCGAGGTGGCTCGAGCTAACCGAAGATGGCTCAATATAGCCGCCGACGTACCTCCAAAATCAGCCTCGAGACGGTTCCAAGCGCCCTTCGTGCCTTCCTAGGCACCCTCCACGAGGCCCAAGTCCTTCCAACACCTTGGAAACTACATGTGTTTTGCCTTCTTAGTATTTTGTTGCCGCTAGGTCTCTGAGGCTTCAACATGGCCCCAAGACGGCCTATGCGAGCCCCAAGAGGGGCCCAAGAGGGCCCCAAGACCAAGACGGCCCCAAAAGCATCCAAGAGACGCCCAACAGGCGCCCCAGGCGGGCCACCAAAGGCACTGTTTGAGCCTCCCAGCAGGGGGGCCGAAATCAAGTGCCCTCTTCATTCTGAGCCATGGGGGCCCAGACGGCCGCACGAGACCTCCCAGACCCACCCAAAAGGCCCTCAGAGGGCTCCAAGAAGGCCCCCAGAGGGCCCCAAGAGGTCCAATAATGCCTCCAACTACATTTAGGACCGACTCTTTTTGAGCCATCGAGCCCAAGACGCGACGCGTTTAAGGCAACAGGCAACGAGCGACGCGTCCAGAGCCGCAGGTAGCCGGCGACGCGGCGGGAGAAACAGGCAGCCAGCGACGCGTCGGGCGGGAGGTCTGGCGACCGTTTCTGGATGGGTTGGTGGGGGTACTTTTTTTGGTCGCGAGCGCGAGCGGGCACCCGCGCGGCGTCGGAAGTGTCGCGCTACGAGCGGAGGCCGGCGGTCACGGCGCAACTGTCGCCGGCCAGGCGCGGGGAAAAAAAGGCCACTACACAACGCAGCGGCTGCGCAAGAGCGGCGAAAACGAGGCGGAGCGGGAGAGAGCGACACGAGCGAAGAGGAACGCAAAGAAGGCGGAAGAACGAGAAGACCTGAAGACCGACGAACGGAGCGAGAAAGGGAAACGCACGCGGCGCAGTTCAGAGGCGAAGGACCGGGTAGGTGACCACCATGGCCTCGTTGTACTTCGAGTGCTTGCCGCGAGCGGGCGACTGGGTACTCGATACCACGCCGGCCGTCAGACGTCGATCGCCTCGAGCTGTCAGAACCAGGTAACCACAATGCCTGGACGCAGCCTGCGACAACGGAGACCGTGTCCGTGGAGGCTCGAGCAACGAAGGCTGGTGGGGGTACTTTTTGTTTGGTCCGCGGGCGGACGCGTAAAGCAGTCGCCGAGAGGGGGGTCCTGGGCACGGTCCAGCCAAATTAACTACCGAGCCACGCGCGAGACGGCCGGGCCAACACTCAGAAACGGCTGCCGGGGGGCTGCTGCTGGAGGGAGCTGGAAGGGTAGTCTGCAGACGCCCAGGGTAGCTGGTGCAACGTGCAAGTCGGAGGCAGAAAGACGCCAAAGTGAAATTAAGTCCTGCACGCCAGGAACGCATGATCGGCTCTGTACCTGCGACCACGCGTCAAACTAGCGGAGCGCTCCCACTGCCGGGCAACCCAGGAAGCGGCGCGCCACCAGGAACAGAGAGCTGGAAGCCACGCAGCTGGTGGGGGTACGCGAAGCGTCAAACATTGAAAACACACAGCGGTGGATACAGAAGGTAGTGGACGACCAACTACAATAGAAAACTGCAATTGCAAATTTACACGTGTTGGCATACGATCGGAAGAAAAACCGAGATCTCTATCATCACGTCTGAGACGGAGGAGGAAAATAACTAAAACGGGGGGAGAAGAAAGTGAGACGGAGGCATGAAGAAATTGAGACGGAGGAGGGAAGGAATTTCTGAGACGGAGGGTGGCGATGTGTCGACATGCGTGGCGATGTCAAGCTGGCCAGAGAAAGAAAAGACGCAACGACGACCGATTAGACTACGGTTCAGACTACGGTTCAGACATGAACGGCCGGCACGGCGCCACGCCAGCTCGAAGAGAACCAAACGCAGAAACAACCACCTTAAGAAACCACCGCCTTAGAAACGACAGACGCAACGGCAGACAAGCCAGGAACAACGTCCCACTGCACGTTAAGAAGATTTAGGGAAGCCTTCCACGATCCACCAAGCATTGCCGACAGAAATCTTAGACAGACTGATCAGGCAAAGTCAAGTTATGAGCGCATTCCAAGACTAACCAGGCAAGGCAGGCGTCACGACGTCACGCTGGCACGAGAAAAACAAGCTCTGGAACGACCCATGCAAAGTGGCAGGCGCGGCTTTAGCGTACACCAAGAGACATGACATCTCTACAACGCAGACTTACTAGCATACACCGGGAAATAACGACAAAGAGGGATGCCACGGGTAATGGCAGACAGCGCGATAATTCGAATTGGAAAATTCGTCTTCCACGAAGGATCCGACACGGCAAGCGTCACGACGTCACGCTGGCCCGACAAACACCAAGACAGCAACTGCCGCGACCAAGGACAGACAGCCTCATAAGACACAGTAGTGCAGGCGTTCGACGACTAAGCAGATCGGGCAGGCATCGCGACGTCACGCCAAAACGAAAAACACGAAATGTAGCAACAACCGCTCTCACAAACCAGCATAAGTCACGAACGCGTATGCGTAGGATGCACCACGGACAGACATTGAGAAACTACTTCTTCACAATGAAGCTCCTTGGTGGGGATTGCTCGAACAACACAATCCAAGAAATTCGGCCCCTGGGACCCGTCATCGGGCCCATGCGGGACGAGATACGACCCTCTCGGCGCAAAGAAAAAAACACACATCGGAGGATGTCTGGGCACCCACCGATATGATTTGTTCAATCCGCGGCCCCAGAGCTCCCGACCCATTTCGATGATCCCCTGAACGTATGTTAGCGCCAACGTGTGTTGGCCCATGCGACGCAGGCGGTGTTACGATCTATCGGTGGAGCTGACCAGGATTAAAACACATCGGGCTGACACACGTCCTGAGGATAATGGACCCTTCCCTGGGGCCAATGTTTCGTCGCTGAAACATTATTGATGGCCCTGGGGCCAGGCTGCAGCCGCCGAGGGGCGACACCGAGGAACCTGGATTGAAGAAAACGTATCGTCGGAGATCCCGCTGAAGAGAACAACTTTGCAACAAGCGTTGATGCAGAAGTTCGCATGACTCCCCTCCGCATGAGCAGGCGCTCCCTGGGATCATCTTAAACCCAAGCAGCTCAAACTCTCGAACGCAAGGCTTGCCAATGTCAAGGCTCAGGGGTGGAAGGAAGGAAGGAAATCCCGTCTAAGGCCCAGGGCGGGCTGGACGCTGGGGGGTGGAGGGTGTAATGATCTGGTTCTTTCAAATTCAGGCGCTCTTAATGCAAAATCGTTTCTTTAACCGTGTGGGTGTTTTTTTGATGAATCAACGATGCTGGGGTTATCCCA